GCAGGAGTAGTGATAGTGAACATCCTTGTCTTGTTCTGATTTTAGTGAGAAAGATTTCAGTTTCTGACCATTTAAGATGATGTTGGCTGTTGATTTTTCATAGATAGCTTTTATCAGGTTGTGATAAAGGCCATCTATTCTAATTTTCTGTAGGGTTTTTAATCATGAATGCATGTTGGAATTTGTTGAATGATTTTTCTGTTCTATTGAGAGGATCATATGGTTTTTGTCCTTAACTCTGTTAATACAGTATATTACATTTATTGATTTATGTTTGTTGAACCATCCTTGCATTCCTGGGATGAATCTGACTTGACAGGTCATTCGGGGTGTGGAGGAGGAGCCATCCTGGCTCCACAGGAATTACAGAAGCACATAAATATGGAAAATCAAAGCTCCAATAATGAAATTTAGTTCTAAAAAGCCAGCGGTTCTCAAACTGATGTGCATGAAATATTCTGGCTCTTTCTAGAAAAGAGGTCCAGGATAACTGCAGTGAGATGGCCCCTGGGCACTGCCTGTAAGAGGTCCTCTTGGTGATTCTGCTATATGATCAGAGCTGGAGAACTCTCCTGACCAAGAACTGCTCCTAGCTGAAGCTCATCCCATTTGATATGGCTCAGGCAAAGAAGGACCATGCAAGGCTGGCATTAGCTGGTACCGTTGCTCATTTCCAGGTCCTGCCACTTATTTGTCCTATGACCCAGACAAGGGCTTCCTTGGCCTTTTTGATCTCAGGGTTTATGTCTGTAAAATGGGTACAGTGAACAACAGAAGAACATCACAGAGGCTGCCTTGGAGCTAGGTGCTTTCCAAAGGCTGGTGGAACTGGCTGCTTTTCTGGTTCACTTTTGAGGGTTGTGTGCTTGTCCCACCCTTTGGCCAGGGAAATAAGTCTGGCAAGAGGATCAGCCAGGTTACCTCTGGCTTCAAAAAAGGAACTATGTGAAGGATTCAGTCTCTTTCAGGCCCCAGCTTTTCAATCCTCTTTTCCAGAGGTTGGAGCAGAAGCTAACAAGGGCACTGTGACCTTTGTGACAAAACTTTCTAGGAAGAAAGGAGAAGATTCTCACCCACTGGGTGGTAACAAGGGCTGGACTTGGTTTAAAACGCTCCACCTACAGCTGGCTGTAGTGGTGCATTCCGGTATCTTAGTGCACTAGGAGGCTGAGGCAGGAAGACCATACATTCAAGACCAGCCTGGGCAACTTAGCAAGACCCTGTCTCAAAATAAAATATAATAAAAGACTGGGGATGTAGCACAGTTGTTGGAAGGCCCTGGGTTCAGTCCCCAGTACCACGATAAACAGAAGTTTCCACTTATCGATGGGCTGGATTTATTGGGTCTACAGTGGTGTGAGAGCTGAAGGGTAGCCCCAAACATATCCAGGCTCTATTCCCTGGAAACACCAAGAGCTACCTCAGGTGGCAGGAAAGGTTGGCAGCAAAGGTCTGCAGGAGGGATTAAGCTAAATGTCTTGAGATGAGGGATTATCCTGGATCATCTGGGACAACCCTAAATGTAGTCATGACTCTCCTTATAAGAAGGAGGCAGGGGGGTGTTGACTACAAAAGAGGAAGATGATGTAACCATGGAAACAAGATGCTTCCCTGCTGGCCTTGAAATGGAGGAAGGGGCCAGAAGTTGCAGAGTGCAAAGAACACAGCTCGGGACTCTGGGAAAGGGAAGGAATGGAATCTCTTCTACAGCTTCCAGAAAGGACTGCAGCCCTGCCTTGATTTTAGTCCAGTGAGATCCACTCAGACTTGAGAACTGTATGAGATTAAAGGTGTGTTGTTTTAGGCCATCGCGTTCGGGTAATTTGTTAGGAATAGGGGACAGGTAGTTTCTGAGCACCTGCTGTCTAATACCCCAGTTCTCCTGGTGGTTGCACACAGAAGGGCAGTAGCCATCCTCTGGGAAGCCTCTTCTCAGAGAACCCAGGAATTTGGTCAGAGTTGGAACAAAATCCTGCAACAAACATCCCTCCACCTGCTCATTTTACAGATGCAGAAACAGAGGCCCAAGAAATCCGGCAGCTGGGCGGAAGGGCGAGAGACTCTGATTCAACTCTTGTATTACTGGCTTTCAAATTCCATTTGGAGTTTTTAACATGAGCAATTTTGCAGACTGTCGATAGCTTTGCAATAATTCCATAATGACCCAATCATGAAATAATTTTGCCATCCCCATGCTAATTGTATTTGTGGATGTAGCAATTGGGTAACTAGTTGGTTATTACTCATTCCCTGAGAGCCATACATATTGCATTACAAGGATGCTAATCTTAGAAATACTTGTTAACTTTGATGATAATTACTAAGTAATTGGCTCAAATATGCCATTGTGAATTTATCTAGAGTATGCTAGGTAATTATCTGGTCTTATGCTCCCTGTAAAATAAAGCCAGGGTCCAAAAATTGTTCCAGTTGGTTGGCTAGCATCCAAGCATCAACTTCTGCCAGTCAATCATGTGAGTGCAAGTGATTAATCAAATTACTCAAATATTTGGATTCAAATCCAATGTTCAGATTAGAAATCTGGATGGTCAACAAGTGGACGGTACTGAATGGGAGAGAGGGGCACAGAGAGCCCCTCCCCAGGACAAATATAAAACAACACAATAACAGGGAATAAACACCATTTCTCTTGGCCTCACCTGGCATTCTCACACAAAATACCCAAACACTTCAGAGACCAATTCCATGTCCCAAAGCTGCAGAATCTTTATGACGGTGCCAGGAAGAGGCTGGGCGCTACCAAATCTGTAGGTGGAAATGACGAGTGGGGAGGGGAGCTCAGAGTTTGGACATAATAGAAGAGGGCTGAAAATGCAGCTGGCCTTCAGGATGAGCCACACATGTTCATAACGACCACTCAGTTTTCAAGGGTGGCTGCTAACTGGGCCATCCACTGCCAATTAGGCAGCCCGGGGGAAGGTTCCAGGAAAGGGATGCATGGTAATTCTGAAAAAGTCAGAGAACAGGGAGGCAGAATGTCCTCTGAAAGGCCAGGAAGCAGAGGAGACAGTGGCCTTCACATTGCTAATCTGGGAGTGGAAAAAAAAAGGAGGTGGCTTAGTAAACTAGAAGGGAGAAGCTGACCAAAGAGAGTCAAAAGTTGGAGGTAACAGCTTGAGGGCAGAGTGGTGGGAAGGAGTCCAGGGGTGGGGAAGAGGCCACCTTCCAACCAGCCTTGTGTGTCCCAAGTGAAGGGCTCCTGACCTCCTGATAAGAGGAGATGCTACCAACTGGGTAAGAAGAGGAAAGGGAGCTAAAAATGACCCTAGATCATCCCTCTCTTAGCATCCATGTCTTTCTAATAGGACATTACAGATCCTTCCATTCACAGGTAGAAACAGCTTCCTATACCTTGAATCCAGTGGACCATGTGTTGCTTTGGGCAACGAATATTAGCTAATGCGTCACATGGTGAGGTGTGAAAAACCCTTGTGCACTAGACCTTGACTGCTTGCTGAACTTGGGAACCTGAGACTACCACGAGAATTAGCCCAAACTCGGCCTTTGGAGATAAAGGCCATGTGGAGAAGAATCAAGTCACCCAGGTTGACGGTCTGTGAACCAAATGACAGTGAGCAAAGGGGTGCAAGACTGACCAGGTCCCTTCCACCTGCAACCCAATGACAACCTCCTATGAGAGCACAGCTCAGCCTAGAAGCCACTGAGTTTGGGGAATATTTTGTTACTACTGAGCACAAGCTTGCTGAGGTCACACTGCCTAATCAGGATAGCTCAGTCTCTGAATCGATAGCTTGAGAGTCACTTCCATCTCGGAAGACCTGAAGTACACCACATTCACCCAGTTTAAGCAGAGCTGACGGTCTACACCTACATCTCCAATCCTTCACAAGCACCTGCCATGCAACACACACGCTGCAGTCAATGGCCACCTTCATGATCAATGGTGATAGAGGATCATGATTAGCAAGGTCTTAGAAATTGACTCTAGGAGGTTTTGCCTTCCAAGGGAATAGAGCTAAGACCAACCCTTCTCTGAGCCTTCAGCTTCCACTGGGACACCTCCCAAAGAAGTGGGACTTAGGTATTTGGGATCTTTATTGCTCGATGTAAATATGGGAAGAGGAGATCTCCTATGGCATTTCAGGCCACATCAAGAACCTCTCTGGGGTGGCCAATTCTAATATAATAAGGGAGCAAACACCAGAGTTTAAAAATACACCAAAGTATTGTTTCACAAATGTTCAAATGAAACCAGATCTATTCTTTTAAATGCCTGCCTCGCATCACTGGGTGAGATTAGAAAGAGCAAGTCCAGGAAAGTCACCATCATCAGAGATTTTCTTCATATTAGTTCTCTACCAACTGTCCCCTCCTGTGCACCCAGAGACCATGGATTCTGGATATTTAGAACAATTAAGGTAAAGATTATAAATGAGTTTTGCAATGTCAGTGAAAGCCACAGTGATGGCTCAGTAGAATCTCGGTTTGAGTTTCAGCAAACTATGGCCCATGGGCTAAGTCTGGCTCACCAGCTGGTTTTGTAAATAAAGCTTTATTGAAACACAGCTGTGCAGATCCATCCACATATTGTCTGTGGCTGTTTTCACAGGACAGTGGCAGAGCTGAATGGCTGCTAAAGTATCTACCTGGGCCGCAAAACTGAAAGTATTACTATCACCCTGCACTGGAAAAGTTGTAATCCCTGGTTTCGTGTGAGCCACTCATTTATATACGGAAAAAGTGAGTCTCAGGGCTGTCTTTATACAAAAACAGAGCAGAGAGGGAAACAGACCCAATTTTTCTGACTCTGGATTCACGTTCTCTCCAGGATGCTGCTTTGCGAACGAGTTTATAGCATTAAAAGCATTTCTTTGGAGACAGAAATGATTGCAAGTGACCTGTGAGCGGTAGTAGCCCTGGAGGCACTTTTTAGCCAGAATGACTGATTAACCTGGACGGTTTCTCAACTATGCCAGCGGCAGAGCTTGGCGAAGCCTGGGTGGGAGCCGGGCACTGACCTGGTGATGATGGCCAGGTGGGGTGGACTCATGCAGGCGCCCATGAAAAGCACCACATTCTCGTGCCGCGTCTGCCTGTAGGCCATCACCTCCCGCTTGAAGGCCTTCAGCTGGTCCTCGTTGTCCCTCTCAATGTCGATCAGCCGGATGGCCACCTCCCCGTGCCAGCGGCCGTGGTACACCTGCCCGAAGCGGCCCTTTCCGATGAGCTCTCCGACCTCCAGCTGCTCGAAGGGGATGTCCCACTCCTGCAGGAAGATGCTGGTCTGGCTCGCCTTGCGGGGGAAGCTCCGGGCCGAGAGGAGGGACAGGTTCATCTCCTCGAAGTCATCCTCTGACTCCTCGGCTTCATCGTGGCCCTCTTCATTCTGTGGCCAGATGGGAGCAGAAGTCAGAGCCGCCGACACCGCTGCCCACCTGCCCTCAGAGTCGGGCTGGGAGCCGTGTACATCGCGGGAGCCCTGAACACCTTTGCATTTCCGGCAGCATCCAGGGCCGGGCAGACACATAGCTCTGTTTCCCTGGATGGCTTTGGTCTAGAATCGTACTGCAACGGACAGCCTGAAAAGGAGATCATGAGAGTCTAGCTCTTTCATGCTAAGGGGAGGAAACTGAGGCTCAGAGACGAGAAATGCTAAGGAGACAACCCATTCCATTTTGCTGGAATTTTAAAGATTTAGCCCTAGGAGTGACACATCTCATGCTGCTCCTTAGTCCAGGAAAGCAGGGATATTGGTCGCCCTGAGAAGCGCCTTGTCCTAGGAGACACAGCCAGGCCGGGGGAGACTCAGGTTGAGTTCTCTAGACTCCTACTATCCAATGCCAAATACCATGCTGTTTTGACTTGTCTGACTATTACTATGCATGTGATAGGGACGACAGGCTAAAATATGGGTCTGCACATAATGTGTGACAACCAGCAATACAGGTGTCTTTTGCTTCCCCCAGAGGATCTGGAATTGATGACTTAGAAGTTGGGAGAGGTCAGAGCTACAGATGGGAGGCCTGCGACTCTTACAGAAGGGAGGGAGGTAGGAGCTGTGAGGATGAGCTGCTCATATGATGTGCTTAACACTCCGAGCAAGCGAGTTGGCATTTGGCCTCTGGGACTTTGAGATTCTCCACTCCCTGAAGCTTCCTCTTCTCATTATGAAGTGGAAGTAAGGAAATCTGTGCTGGTGTAGGGGCGGTACAAAGTTTTAAACCAAATAAAGAGCTGCTTGACCACCTGCATCCAACATCCGTTGAGAAGCCTAACAAAATACAAATTCCTGATTCTCATTCGGATGTACGGAGTCAAAATATCAGTGCCCCAGGCCCAGGAATCTGCATTTGCTTTACCAGCACATCTGTAGGACCAGAGCACACTGAGATGTGAGCATCACTGCAATCTAGGTACTACCTGCCCAGCATGGTGTTTGGGGGCTCCCAGGGCTGCTTTGCCCCTTGTTTCTTTTGCTGGAATGTGGGAACAGTGGGTGCTCAATCCAGGAGGATTCCCAGAGGCCCTGGGACCTCATAAGACAGTCTGAGCAGGTGACCTCTTAACTGGATACAGGTCTTCCTGACCCAAAATTCCCTGGGTAAGCTATCCTTTGTGTCACACTCAGGAGAATCAGTCCAGCAAACTTGGCTTCTCCTGGGGTCATTTCCAGAGGATTACGATAGTCCCAGAAGGGACATGTGTTTCCCTGGAAACCCTGCTTCTGTTCCTTTCAGTTGAGGACAAGTTGGCAGAGCCAAGAGGCTGGGACTCCATGGTTCTCACCTTGGACATTTCATTTACTCACTCAATGTCTTGAGCAGGTGGGGAAGGCGCCTGAGAACATTCCCAATCTCCAAGGTCCCCACTTCCTCCCATATATCCCTTTGAAGACAGCAGGGCATATCCGCCTTGCCAGTCACCCTGCCTGGAGTCAATTTTTCAACCCAGAATGCAAATCCTTCGCCAACTTCCGCACAACTGGCGTTTCCGTGTTGCAGACCATACAATGGCCCATTAGGAGCAGAGCGGGGAGGGGCACTGTGTGTTATTCGTCCCCGAGTTAGAACATCCATCAAAGGGCCAGCGCACCCCACACAGCCCCCCGGCCCTCTGCGTCATCAGAGTTCAGTGGGCTTTGCCAAGGCTTCAGCAGCCCCTGGAAAAAAGCTGCTGCACTGCGTGCTCTTCAGTTCTCACCTCCGAGGTTGGCTCCACTTCAATTTGAAGTAATGGATTTCCTTCCAAGCTTTAAAGAAAGAAAAAGAAATGTGACCCTGAGGTAAAAAGGTCCATGTACTGAGTTTAGCCCATATGAAGGACCCCAAAATGGGAAGTCCTCGCCACCAGGCCCGCATCTTGCATTTCTTCCAACACTTGAGTCTAAAATAGTGCTTAAATCAGCCACACAAAGAGCCACACAAGGAAGTTATTATTTTAAATAGATTTCAGAGATGCTCGGAACTTGTTTTTCTTTATTGCTGTAGTTTAAAATAGTCCAGCAGCTTCTTTATAAATTGGTCTAAATGCCACGTGTGGACGATTTCTCAGAGGACTCAGTGTTCACTGGGGAATAATGAGTCTGATTTCTGAAGTTCACTTGAACTCAGACTTTCTTGGAGGGCTCATAAGTGTTCATTTGTCTATCCACTCACTCACTCCTCATTCATTCATTCAACTAGAATTCTGTGCCGGGAATGTACTCGGTCCTTAGGGGGATACAGAATTTAAATTGGCATAGCTCCTGCCTGTAAGGAACATTCTATCGCGGCTGAAGAAACTAAAGCAAGCATGTAGATACCGTACCGTGCAGAGGCTAAGTGCGACACAGGCCAGGAGTCAGGTCTGAATTGAATAAATAGAGCGTGGTGGGGATTCCAAGGAGAGAGAATGGCTGGATGTGTTTGAAGGTTCTCGGAGCTTGAGTTGTACCTTGCCAATCCCATGGAGTTAGGATGTGTGAAATGAAAAGAAGTAGACAGGACTGGACTGGAAGGTAGGGCTGCGTGCGTGTGTGTGTGCACGTGTGCATGCGTGCATGCACCTACATGCGCCTGGGTTGTCTTGTGCATGTAGGTCAGGCGATGTGGACACTTGGCACAGTGTGTTGCAGAGGTGTATTTTGGGGCCACCTTTGAAGATTCGATTGTTCGTGTTTCTGGAGTTCAGAAAGAAGACAGCAGCAGGGTTACTGAAGGCACAGAAGAGCTGCAACTGGTGGGGAAAGGAGTCCTGCTCAACACAAGGTCCCTTCCTAGCTCTCCGATCTTAGCAGATTCCCCCTTCCCACCTCCTCACTGGGTGTGGAGGAGGCTCCCCTCACCTGACCCTAGGGCCCCAGCAAGCTGCTGACCCTGTACGTGATAGATAAATCCACTTCCTGGAGGGGGTCTTGTCAGGGAGAAGTCTAAAAGATTTAACAGAAATGGAAAGAAGAGGCATCACAAAGGTGCCCATTAACCCTGCATTGATAGCACAGCCTGAAAAGGTGGAGTGAAACTGCACAAAGATGTCCTAGGTGGGACAAATCAGCTGAGTCCCCCCTACACCCAGCAGCAGAACAGCAGCCCTCCTCCTCCTGCACCAAAGTGTCATTGCTCCCGCCACCAGGGCTACTCGATCACCTCTCTCTGCAGCGAGCTAGTTCTCCCCACTCCACCCAAAATTAAGCAGGCAGCTATGACTCTGTGTTTTGCTGGTGCTCTGTGACTGTCAGTAGCCCGGAGTGCACCTCGCACAAGTTGTGAAGTTGGTTTATGTGAAGCAGGGAACCCATCTGGAGCTCCACGTGAGTACAATATCCCCTGGCAAATGGCTGCCCTAGATATACCGTTTGGGTCCTTAATAAAATCCGACTGTGGAGTCCAGACAATCAGAGCACGTAGGGGAGCCAGAAGGGAAACCAAGTCAGCAAAGACATGAGTCGATTAACTGGTCACCTCCTAGCATGGCCCAGACTTCACTCATAACCAAACAAATGAAAGGAGATGATTTCCCCTGGGCTGCACAAACAGTGGGCCACCTGCTCAGCGGGTCTGCGCCCCGAGGACGCGACACAAAGAGATGTTCACTGTGGTGTTGCTTGCAACAGTGAAATACGAAGCAATGTGAAATCCAGCATTAGGGTGCAAGTTAGGGAAATTACTTTATACTGATAGGACAATTTACAGCCATTAAAAAATGTGAAGAGTCTGGAATCATACAAAAGTGTGATATCATAGCATTAAAGATAACAGAGCAGGATAATGACTGCAATGATGTAAGTTATGACTAGAAAAAGTACCATAGATTCAACCATGGTGGGATTGTGAGTGGTTATTTTCCAGAATATTCCAATTTTCGCAGAATTAGCTTATATTTTATTTATAGTGGTATAAACTCGAGATCAGCAAGCTGTTTCTGCAAAGGCCAGAGTCCATATTTTCAGCTTTGTGAACTATATGGTTTCTTTACAGCTCCTCAGGTCTGCTGCTGAACTGAGAAAACAGCCATAGATAATACTATCAACAAATGGGCTTGGCTGTGAGCCAATAAAACTTTATTTATAGACAAAGGCAATAGGTTGGATTTGACTCACGGGCTAAAAGTCTGCTGATCCCTGCTATAAATCTAAATTATACTTTAAAAGGGGGCTGTAATGTAAGATTAAATGTCCTTTCATTACGGTTCATCTATACCGCAGGGAAAGCTTTCTTTCTAATCATACTTGGGGGGTCTAGGGGTCCTATGGAAGTTTTCTGGCCCCTGGGTATCATGCTTGTGGCACAGGACCATAGATACAAGGCCAAGGTGGTTCCCAGGGGTCGGCATCACCTCTCTCATCACTGGTCTCAGCCTGGGCTGTTAGGCTCCTTCTCCCTCCACTGTGCCCCTCTGCACACCCCCTTCATCATTCCAGGAAGAGGAAGAAAGAAGGCAGAGGACCTAAGGAGACCCAAGGCCAAGATCTCAGGGCAGGGGAAAGAGGTTTCCGCCTCACTTACATTGGATTCGAGGTCACCGGATGCAGGATGACCTGGGGCGCCCGGGTCGGCGTCTCTGGCACCGGCACCACATCTGAGAGCCAGAGATGGGATAGTCAGAAACCAAACATGGAATACACAACTACCTTTGAATTTGTGCCTGATTCTTGTGACACATGGTTGCTACCAACGTTTTGCCAATCATGAGTCGCAGGGCTGGCCAATCCCCTGTCATCCTTCATCAGCTCCCTGGACTTGGGTTGCTGGACCAAGGTCCTAGATAACACCCTGGACAGAGCCTTCCTGCTGACTGGAAGTTGCCAGGACTGCCAAGCACCTGGCCTGGAGCATCTGTTGGTCATCTTGGAATCCTCCTCATTCCTGAGCTCCCTTTGGGTGATGAGGCCACTTGGTTTCACATCTTCTCAGTTCCCAACTTGAGCCCCTCTGACCACCTCTCTCCTGCCCTATGGCTCTGGCCTGTACCTCACCATGGCCCCATCTCCTTTCTCTCAGCCTTTTTACTGTGCTTGGTCTCCTTGGATCCCAAGTTGCCCTCAGGACCTCCTAACTTATCTTCTCCATTTCCATATCCTGCCATTATCCTGAGGTCTAGGGACCCCATTCCTACCCTCTCTGGTCTTGTCCACCCTAACAGTGCTCCCCTCCACCCATCCCAGCAACCCCTGCCCCTCAGCAGGGCTTGTGCAGGAGGGCTGTTCTCAGCTCATATGCCACTCACCTGGGAAGATGAATTGCTGCTTGTATTTGTAGTAGTGGGATGCTTGTAAAGGAAAGAGACATAAGAGTGAGTGCACCCCACAGTCACCACGCTGTGCTCCCGTGGCCGTCAGGCGGTCATTCCCCACCCTCCCCGAGAGTTTCCATGCTTCTGCAGACTCTGAATTCCAAAGGACTAAGAGCGCGTGTAAGGAAATCAGAACTCTAAGCATCCAAGCCAACTCTCCCATTCCGTATCTCACACTCCCTAAAATCAGACCACTCTGACACTGAAAGTTATCCTGAGTTCCCTTTCTCCCTCGCTTTCCGAGAGAGAGAAAGAGAGAGAGAGAGAGAGAGAGAGAG